TAGCCCATCACTGCATGCCTCTACCTTCCAGCCCCGACTCAGGGCCTTAAAGCCATCCCATGTCAGCCCCTACTCACGAGGGAAAAGCCCACGAGCACCCCATCTGCACAGCACAAAAGCCCTCCTTAGCAGCGGGGTTCCCATCAGAGGGGCCAGCGGGACACGTATTGTCAGGAAGCTTGTTTTCCCAAGAGCCGACGCTGTTCAGATGTGCCATGAGCAATTGCTACTCCGCTCGCCTTCCCCTGGCAAATTATTCTGCTGAAGTCTCTTCCAGCGTTTGGAGCTGCGCTGCTGTAAATGCCAGAAATCATGTACATTAAGCCTGGAGTGACGGCAGGCTTATGGATGGATTTACCTTCAAACAGAGGCCGCTGAGGCGCCCGGCGTGGGGGGCAGCACTTTATGGATGCCGCTCTCTGCAAGCGGAGGCTTTAAGCGGTCGACTTGGCCACGTAATCAATTTCTCATGCAGGCCTGGCTCTGGGCCACCCGCTCCCAGGCAGGGCTTTGGGATGCAAGCCGTCTACCCACATCCCCCCTGTCCTTGCCCCTTCCTAGGGGACTGTTCCCATCTGTCTGGAGGGCCAGTAGCAGGGGTTGGGCAGGGGCCACACCAGGCCAACTCGGGCAAATCCAGAAGCCCAGGGCCTGCCCTCCTGTAGATGCTTTTTGCCTAAGTCTTCTTGGGGCGGGGGGGCAGCCATGGTAATGCTATCTCACTGCTCTGGGCTGAGCCTCCCAAGCTGAGTGTGAAGTCCCCCCCAGGCTCACACTGGCCTCCCACCTTCCCACCCCCATCCTCTGAACTCCTACTCTTCCTCCCTCTCTGAAACAGGAGGCCTGCTCACTGACTTGGCTCTCTCTCCTAAGTGGCAGCTCCTGGAACTTCCCCTTGGTCACCTCCCATCCCTAGGCCTTCCTCTGCCTCAAAGTCCTAGGGTACAGGAGGTGGAACTGTCAGAGGTACAGTGTGGGCCCAGGGACCCCTGCAGGGCTCTTCCACTCCTGGCCAGCCCCTCCCTCGCCCCATCTGTGGCAGGCTGTATTTTTTCCCAGATGCTCCAGAAGCGCCTGTGTTAATGTTCAGGGGTAAAATTAGATTAGGAGAGCTGTAACCTAATCAATGGATTCATACATTTCACACATTAACAATTTGCAAGGACTACTTTACTGGTGGTAGCTGGAAGCAGGTAGGGTGTGGCTGAAGGAATCAGGTCTCTGGGGGCATGCCCTTGGATTATATCCTGCTCCCCTGGCTCCTCAGGTTCTTGCTCTGCTTTCTGGCTGCCAGGAGCTCACAGCTTTCCTCTGTCATGTCCTTCTACCACGAAGTTCCGCTTCACCTTGGGCTCAGACTAATGGAATCCGCCAAACCATGGACTGAGCCTCTGAAACCATGATCCCCCAATAAACTTTTCCTCCTCTAATTTATTATTGTCAGGTATTTTTAGTTTCACCAACCACCAAAAAAAAAAAATCTAATGCAAGAAATGATGTTTATATTCCTTTCACTGATGTCTAACTCTGGCAGAACTGACCCTGTGTGAGTGCTGAGACTAGGTTATGCAAGACAATGCCATTTCCTCCCAGATCCGTGGAGCACCTGGACTTGCAGCTCTGATTCACCATGTCTCACCACTCAAGGCTGCCATGCTGGAAGGAAGCCCAAACTACCACAGGCTAAAAGACCACCCAAAAGGGCCCTACCAGCACTGCCCCTGTCTTCCACTCCAGCCCCTTTATGACTGCAACTGCATCAGAGACCCACAGAACCACAACCCGATGAGCCCTGCTGGGCCCCACTGAGCTTCTCCCAAATTTCTGACACACAGTAACCATGGGAGATAATTTAAGACAGCCCTAAGTGGCTGGGTGAGTTGTTGCACAACAAAAGGTTAATGAGTCTTAATGCAGTAAAAATATAACAACAACAAAACGAGGCTCAACAATCCAATCTTTCTTTGATCATCAGAAGGCATTTGCAGCGTTGCACAGCCTAGCATATTGAATATCAGTTCTCAATGCACAGCATCCGGGTATCAGAGGAGGTGTCTAAACCTTGACAACTCCCAGACACCGCCTGGCTTCGTTCACAATCCAGAAATCAGGAAAATATACATGACCACAATTGTTTGGCCACTTAATTCCCAGGAAATAATGAGAAGTAAATAACAAAGACAGGAATTATTCCCCAAAGCAATTCCTGTGCTTCATTCCAACATTTACAGACCTCTTGGGGGCTAAGAACTCTAAGTCCTCTACCAACTAAGGGGTTTTTGGGTAACTGATAACCTGGAACTGGGGAGTCCCCCTTTTTTTGTTTTAAACATAAAGAATGGATTTCTCCAGAGGCTGAGCACTGTCTTGGGAGGTTTACAAAAGTCCACTCATGCTTGGGGAAGCAATTTTATTTTTTTTTTCTTCTTCTCTTTAAGCCAAAGGACACCCTAGAGGACAGAAAAGGTGATTTCAGACTTTGTGGTAGACAGGTTTAGAGTTTTAGCTACTCAGCCTCTCTGGGTTATGGCTTCCTCATCTGTAAAATGGGAATGATAGTAGAACTTTCTTCTTTGGGCAATGTCAGGGTTAAATGAATTAATATATGCAAAAAGCTTAGAGTGAGATGTGTTCATTGCAAGTGCTATGTAAGCACTTGCTATTTTTATTATTGTTGTTATTATTATTTTTGCTGTTGTTGTTTGGGGATTCTAAGCTACTGGCACTAACAGATTCTGTTAAAAATATTGTCAGTGGTATAACTGTATGGTAGAAATTGACCTCTCCTTTTACGATCCCTCTTTAACATCAACTCCCCTCCCCAGTTCTGGTGGGCACACACGTGCACCCTCAGTCATCAGTCCTCGTGTGCCACAGGTCACACCACAGTAATGTATTAGCACAGGACAAACAAGAAGCTTTATCTTCCCCTCCAGGCAGAAGGCGGACACAGAGAATCTGCCTGCATTGTCTGGGATGGCTCAGAAGCCTCTGGAGATGCAGGGCAGAGCTGCCCCTGGGGTACTGGAGTCCTGGGAGGCCTTGGAGGCGGGTCCCGAGGGTCGTAGCTACATCTCTCCTGGTTGCAAGCCCAGTCTCCCAGCACCTGCCCATTTCGCAAACCCCTCCCTTGCCTGGCTGTTGTGCCTGCTGCAGGCTTGCTGATGTGGACACGGTCTCCAAGGGGACGAATGCGCTGCATGTCAGGCGGAGGGGCAGGGACAGGAGCAAGCCCTGGCAAAGAAAGACACACACAGCCTTTCCCTCCAGCCGCAAAGCGAGAATCTCTACTCACATTCTTGTCTCGTGGCAAATCTGACCCCAAGGTGGCCCTGCTGGACCAAGGCTGTCCCTGAGTGAGCTAATCCAGCAGAGCCCTGTTGTCCACACACAGCAGGAAGGACCTCGAAAGCCCAGCAGGCCAGGCCACGGGGCCTCTCACCCTGCAAGACTCTCACAGCAGGCTACGCCAGGCCCTGGTGATACACTGCCAAAATAGATTAATGTCACAAAAGGGGAATCTTTAGGAAAGAGAGGAATCAATCTCATTTTAGGGGGTCCATTTAGCAAAATGAAAACAAATACTTCAGGGATGGATTAGCTTTCCAGGTTTTTGGTCATTTAACAAATATTTATGGAGTGATAACTACATGCTAGGCAGCGCCATTGGCTTGGGGCCTCTGTCCCAGAGAAGCTCAAGGTCTTTCCCCCTTCTGGCAGGCAGTTTACTGGAAAGTAATTGTGCTGGAAGTTGTGGCATCCACAAGAATGTGCCCCCCAGACCTCTGACTCCAGGGAACATAAGAGAGAGGGTGTGCAGGGCCCCAGCTGCTGAGCTCAGGAATCCAGCCCAGCATTTGGACCCAGGGTACAGTCAACGACCGCACGTGGCAGGCCATAAACGCAGGTCAGCCCTATGAGAAACTGGAGTCCTCTGGCAGCTGGCTTGGGCTCAAGGACCGCTTGCCTTCCTTGTGGAATGTTCCATAGACTGCAAGATGGTCTAGGATGCTCACCGCCCTCTGTCCTTCACTCAGGTGATCACAACTTTCATCCTGCCTGGCCAGTCCCCAGGCCCCTCCTCATTTCCTCTCCTGGGTAATTTCCCTAATAAAACTCTTGTCTATTTAATCTTCCCTGGCATCCATTTCTCAAAGGACCTGACCTAATCTAGAAGCACAGCCACATCTTCCTGCTTTTCCTGTGCCCAGCCTCCCCAGATGGACCAGCCTGGGTCCTGCCAGTATCTGCCCCTTGCGGACACCTGGATTGATGCACTCATTAGGAGCTTCTTGATACATTTGGCGTCTCCCTGGTAGATCCTACGTTCTGTAAGAACTTACAGCATCCTTAAGGCTTCTTCTCACTCTGATGGTTCTCAGCAGGTGTTGCTGACCCATGGAGGAAGGCACTTGACATCAGACTCTTACATCATATTTCAAGAGGCCCCGTTGACTTCCCAATATAATTAACAATAACCGTTGCATAATGAGCTCATACCGAGATGCTAAGCTTTTCACATGCATAACCTAATTTAATGCATAATCCTGGACACACACCCAGTCACCAAGCAAAACATTTTCCCCACTACCCACTACCCAG